TCAACCTCTACGCAGATATTTATTCTGATTTTGCATTTTGTGAAGGGTCCGGAGAAGAATGCCTTAGGGAATTTGCTGGTGATATTTATATTAGGAGGAGCACTTACAGGAATTTCTTTGGGATGGTTATGGCTTATTGGTAAGGAAAATGCCTTCTAAGTTCTCACTATCAATGATTCAGTTAATTGTAGATTAATCTACTTTCTTCATATATGCTTGTAACTTGTAAATGTTCTCATCCTAAAACCAGACATTTGTTTGATTGTTTCTACTAAATAGTAACGAAAGGAAGAATCATGAGTTAAACAATGTGATACTTCTTCATCTCAAAAATAAGTCGGACGATTCGGCGATATCTGGATACTCGATGCTAAACAAAAAGAGAGATTCTTAATCACTAGAGTTATACCTCGCGCATTTTTACTTTCGAATTTTTAGTAAAATTGATATTTGAGTATAATATAACCATTTCAATTTTAAATTAAACTCCAAAAAATCAATATGAAATATGAACACTTGGTTGACAAAAAAAAAATATGAACACTTACATAAATACAAACTTATTTGCAAAACATAGATATTTTTCATGGTAAATTTGTTTTTCGAAAAACTAATGAATAATTAGATGTCACGTGGTTATAGAAATTAGTTGAAAACCTAATAGAAAGGGAAACCGGCATTGACAACCATCCCACGAGATATAGTTCTTTCCTATTGCGGTCCCATAAAAAATATCTCTAGAGATTTTTACGTTGATCATTGACCCAATCTTATAGTGAATGAGATCAAAAAATATTTTACTTTAATCTTGTGCATATATCTTTCTCACCTTTAGTGAAATTTTCTTTAAACAAATTTTCAATCATTTTTTCGTCATATTCCAATAATCACTCGTTCACCTCTTGGCATCTAATTTGTTTTCACTTTCTCTTTGGTGACATATAAATGTATAACATATTGAACGACATATTGATTTTCAATTCTTAACGAAACTATTTCTAGTGATTAAAAAAAACGAAAC